ACACACACACACACGCACGCGCGCGCACACACACACACACACACACACACACACACACACACACACACACGCGCGCGCGCGCGCACACACACACACACACACACACACACACACACACACACACACATACATACATACAAACATGTCATTGCTGGTCGCCATTGTGCAGCGCTACATGAGTAGCGGGCCGGCGGCATGGCAGTACCAGCTAGAGACATGCAGATATCTAGATAATGTACCTGAACTGTCGTCTCTTGTAATTCTTTCCTCCCTGGGCATACTATAGGGTTACTTGGGTGGTTTGCGGGTGTTCTTGTGTGATTTGCTCCTGCCTTCCTATCAAATGTATGTCGTCCTAATTTCTTTTCCCTCTTTTCTTTGTACCAGTATGTTATTCTCTATTGTAGCACCTCTAGTCTTCGGCATTTATGTGACCTAGATCTAATTGTGTTCCGAGTGTCATAAAATTCTTGCTAAAATAAATTACAGTCTTAGAGACTTGGATATTTCCATCTTGTGTAACCCTTTTCTCCCTGGATATACTACCAAGGGCTTAGAGATCAAAGATATTATCACCTGTTGTAACCCTTTCCTCACCGTGCTTTTAACAAAAATGTTTGTACCAACCATGGAGCAGCCATAAGTCTATATTATCATCTGTTGTGACCCTTTATTAACCGGATATACATCTACGTGGACTTGTACCAATAAATGACCATCTATGGAATCAGAGATCCACAACATAACACAATCTGTTTCAACAATGGACAGTTCCCACTGAGCTCAGAGATGTTGATCTGTCTGCTACAACCCTTTCATTCGACCCAGGGATGAGAATCTACACCACTAATGAATACTCCACCAATGTGTGTTGTTGACCACCACTTTGCGTTGCAGAACTGAAAGATCGACTCTTAGCTGACCAAGTTGTTTTTCTTACGAGATATAAACTAGAGGAATACCACTAACTTAGAGGACGACGTCGGAACCAACAAATACACTAGAGGAACTTTTGAGGACCACGTGGGAACCAATAAATAAACGAGAGGAATACCATCAACTTACCAGGACCACATGGGAACCAATAAATAAACTAAAGGAATACCACCAACTTGTGAGGATCATGTCGGAACCAACAAATAAACTAGATCTAGAAGAATACCGCACCACCAACTGACGAGGACTACGTTGGAATCAACAAATTGACGTGAATACCAACATAATATGAGGACCAGGTACGTTGGTACCAACTAACAAACTAGGAGACTACCATCAACTTACGAAGACCAGGTTGGATTCAACAAGAGTATGGTGCCATACAGTATATTAGCAGCACCAACAGCGACAGACTTAGATTACTTTTCGTTTCTCCTGGCCTTGAAGGTTCTAAAGTAGCGGGAGAGATAACATTGTCGATCCAAGTACCGTCATATAGATGCCTAGTGGTGAACAGAGATTTGTTACAGCAAAGATTTCCTGCCTTATTTTATAGTAACATAATACACATGTACTGCCGGGTGTTAGCGATAAGCAGAGATCTCATGGTTTGTTTTACAGAAATAGCCAACGTCTAGTGCCCGGAGTTGCCGATAATCGGTTTTTTCTGTTTTCTTTCACAGCAACATAAAAGTTCCAATGTGTACTACGAGAGGTTAGCGGTATGCAGGGATCTCATAATGATTTTTTTTAAACGGTTACATAATGTAATAATAATTAGTATTATGTGCACTGCCAGAAGTTAGCGGTATGCTTTAGTTGATTTGTAATGTTATATTAGGACAAGTAACTTTAAGCTGTGATTCTTCCATAGGCACATTATTCTGTATACTTTAGGCTACCCATAGATCTAGTTTAATATAATTCTTTCAGAGACTTACTTTACTTTACTTTTTCCTACCTCAGTTACCTTACGGTGTCAAAAGGGGGGGGGAGAGAGAGAGAGAGGAAGGGGGGGGGGGGGAGAGAAAACGTCTTTCTCTTGTTTGTTGTATCGCCAATTGCACGATTACATTGTTTTTATCTAATGTTTCTAAGGCCCACTTTATCCATCTTTTCTTTCGGAGACAATTCTATAATAATAATAATATATTACTTAAAGTATAATGTGATTCTTTATACTTGAAGTCAAATATGATTCTAACATAGACATGTTCTTATAGTAAAAGCATAATGTGATTTCTCCGTGGACATGGGTGCAAGGTGGATGCCCTTACCTATCCTCTTTTGTTGTATGTGTTACTCTCTTGTAAGACTTCTCATTCTAATCTTCAACACTTGAATTACCTTATTGTGTTGCAAGTGCCGTAAAACGCTTACACACCCCCGGGGCAGTGCCACTGACTGAAGTGTCTTTAGACCATTCCCAAAGGGGGGACATTTCTCGTTCAAGCACAGTAGAATTGTAAATGGGCTGACTCATGTCACGCTCATAACTGTGCCTGATCTACAACAGGGAACTGCTGCTTTTTCTTTCCTGATCCTTACTATTGTCATTTTCCTCTAATTCTTTTATATGTTTGTCAATCTCTTGTGACCTGCTATTTTGGGGTGCCTTGATAGTCGAAGCAGACCTTGTGCTATTGAAACTGGAGAGGTGAGCAGTCTAAGTCTGATTCCCTGTAAAGACTTCTCTGTTGACACCCACCCCTTGGCGCTCATATGACCTATGCAGTTGCGAGCGCCGTAAAACCTCTACTAAAACTAAAACTAAAAACGCTTACTAAATCCAAAAACCCATGTTTCATGCAACTAACTATGGTGCAATGTACCCAATGAACTCTCCACCCCCGTTCTGTGAAAGCCCGTCTGCAATACACACAGTCGCAGGGCGACTTGACCACTACACCCGAGTCCTGGGTTGATCTGTTGGTTGTTCCATGTTCTCAGGTTACTTTTGCCTTTGCGTTTGTGGGTCGGAAAGAGAGAAAGGAGAGAGAGAGAGAGAGAGAGAGAGAGAGAGAGAGAGAGAGAGAGAGGGGGGGGGGAGAGAGAGAGAGAAGGGGGGGGGGGAGGGGGAGAGACGGCTAGACAGTCAGACAGACAGACAACTCCTTGTATGTCCTAGAACGTGTTTATTTTTTATGTGTGTATACGTCTATAATTTAATTTTGAGCTCGCCTATGAGAGTTCAGCGGTGTGTGTGTGTGTGTGTGTGTGTGTGTGTGTGTGTGTGTGTTTGTTTGTGCGTGTGTGTGTGTGTGTGTGATTATGATGTCTGTTTGTACATTATTTGTGTGTACATGCATTTGCGTTTATGTGTGTGTGTGTCTTGAGGGGGGTGCCTCATGTCGAGGAACATCATTATCAACAACAACAACAACAACTTTTTTGCAACAACAACAACAACAACTTTTTTGCAGCAACAACAACAACATCAACGACAGCAACAGCAACAACCATAACAACAACTACTACAACAAGAATTATAATAGTTGCTACAACAACAACAAATATAATAGTTACAACACCAACGATCGTAACAGCCAGGCGCGGTTCGTCCATAGAGCACGGTCGTGCAGTGCCGCCCAAAATGTTTTAATGTTCTATGACGTAAGGCACCGACAATAATAAAATAAAAGACGCCGGAAACAAATACTAGTCAAATATTATATCAAAACAAGGCCCTCGCTGACGCCGTAACTGTCATTTCTATTCTATAGCGCCGTAAAAATCTACTATGCCATGCCTAAGTTCATGCGCTGTATCTAAACATAACAGGATAGTCAACAGTGGAAACCGAACCTATAAATCGCTCTTTGGGATAACCCAAGCGATGACGACACTTGTAGAGAGTTTGGCGGTACATTAATATTAATAAGACGGCACATCTCAAATGTGCTCCTGCCGAATAGCGCCGAAACATAGCCCACAGTAGGCAATCTAAAAATAAACGCCATAGACTGTGTACTGTGCACTATTCCATGCCAAAATTATGTGGGCCCGGAGCAATCCAGAGGGGTGCTCAAGTGAATAATGATTGGTCCATTGTCTTGTCGCTATTTTAAGTGACTCTGTGACCGTGAACCTGAGGGGGGTGAACGTGACATACTTAAGTCGCCGTCCTATGAGTTGTGCTTTTGAACTGTTTTGTAGTGAAGTGGTGAAAGGTATTACTTGATGTTGTTACTTGGAACATAAAACAAAGATTTTACACTACTAACCTTCTGTCACATGCCACTATAACAGGAATAAGCCAAACCTGTTCCTCTGTTCTGTGTTGTGATTCCTTCCGCAGCTTTGGGGCCCCGATGCGTTGGATTGGAATCTCACACTTCACGCACAACTGAACTGAGGCTCTAACTAGCCTTTCTCACAATCTATACTGTCA